GTTATATAAGAGAGGGTAAAGTAGATATTTGAGATTTCTAAATAATTAATTCTTTGTTCTTTTTAAAGAATTTGGACAAAGGGCATTTAGATAAAAACTTGTTGAGGGTTGGCTATCCCAACTCATTCCCCATATCTATTTCTCCCTCTTTTTGACAGACGCGCGTGTCTTCTAAAATAGGAGAGAAAAACTTGTGGAACAGTTTATGGAGGGTTCGAGAGATGCAACATTTGCTTCAATTGATTTCTTCCTTTTGTGATATTGCAGTCATCACCCTAATCCTTTGTGGGTTAGAAATTTGAGGCAACCAAGTGATAGTTGTGGGTCGAGCTGAACTCGGTTGGTGTTCGTTTGGTGGGTAAACTGAGCTCGAAATCAAGATTTCTCGAGGATTTCCATGACATAACTTTATGTATTGATCGTGGACGATGTAATTTTGATCACGTCACAAATTTTATCTCACTATATTCGAACCATCGAGTATACAGTTTGTGATATCTTGTATGATCATGGAAGTTAAGATTATTATTGCAAATAGTCTAATCATAATATCGTTCACAAAATACTAGCATCAAACTAACATATATGACTGTTTCGTAGGTAAGAACAATTAGTTAGACACCACAACCCAATATATCAATCCTCACATCGATAGGGTAGTAAGAATTGTGCGGTTCAAATTAGCCAACATATGGTGAACTAGCGCTTGGCATTGCTGGGTGAGTTTCAGGGACTGGGTTTTGATAAAAACCAATAGAAAGTAGAGGAGCAAGTCAACTGGCTCGACTGCAGGGGCAAAATCATGAATAAATGAGCTTGTGTTGGTTAATTTGAAGGAATTCTTGAGATAATGATCATGTGAATTGAAGCTAACCTGTTTGATGATTGTCCTCAGTGAGATTAGAAAATATCGATAGGTTTTTTCTCGAGAGTTTTGTACCTTAAGTCGCACGACCAGGTTGATGCAGTCAAAGAAGTTAGTGATCCGAGAGTTAATTCTCAAGAGTTTTTTAACTTACTCTTCAAAGCCATTAATAGGTAAGATGTGAAACTTAGAGACCACGCATTGGCCTATTTGTTGAGGATTTTGGCTTTCAAGAAAGTAGAGAAAGTTCATCAGCAACTTCTCAAGTATCCAAAAAGTTTTTGGTTTTTTTCTATTGAAAATGATTTAAACATTCTAAAGGAAATGAAAGAATCCCTTTCCTTTTTTGGACTTGATTGGGCATTCTCGAGTAGTATTACAAATTTAAGATTACGCGAAATTTATAATCTACAGCAAAAAAGCTGGTTTGTCTGAAATTTTATCGAGTTTCACAATTCGTCATCTGTTCCAAACTTTTTTGGACAAAAGATTGAACAAGACTAATAGAAGCACAAAATATAACATGATCATAATCTCTAAAAGCAGAACAATCATAATCTCTAAATTGAAAACCTTCTTTGGTTCTCAATCATCCAGTGCTAAAGCAGATATTGAAAGTACAATAGAAATTTATGGTTAAAGTATGCTGATTAATTAGCTCTGTTTATTGCATTCCCAGCCGGAAAATTTCCCTGTAAATCGTCCAAGTTCCACAAGCCATCCCACATAGTATCCTCATTTGAGGTCTCTAGCATGGTTGCATAGCCATTAATCATCGAATAAAAGAAGGCCGACTCGTCGTTAGTGTTCGGGTAAATTATTTCTTGTCTCATTTGTGGGAAATTTGGCAGTCCATTGTTGTTATCATTCTCATCAAGCAATGAGATTATCTTCTTCATGTCCATTTCATCTTGTTGTTGCTGTTGCTGGAGCTGGAGCTGGTATTGTTGTTGTTGTTGTAGCCGAAATTGTTGCCTCTTCAGAAGCCGGAGATGGGATTTTTCCGCGTTCTCCGAGGAGGGTTTTCCCTTTTTCTTGAAATGAGTCCTCCAGTAATTCTTGATTTCATTATCAGTTCTTCCGGGCAGGCTTCTAGCAATTGTTGACCACCTGTGTTCATGAAATTAGTTAATAAAGACTCCTTCTATAGGGTAGCTCATGATAGGGCCCGAGCTAGCCGTAGAATTAATGAGAAGTAAAAAGCTCGTTTAGGGCAGCAAATTAGTACCTGTTTCCCCATCTAGCATGTAGCTCAAGAATGATACTTTTTTCATGTGGGGTTATTTGTCCCCTCTTAAGGTCTGGCCTCAAGTAATTCACCCATCTTAATCTGCAGCTCTTTCCATTTCTTTTCAATCCTGTTCAAACACCAATCAAAATCCATTAGAAGACAAGACATTCTTTTTTATTACCAGTTTGACACTTGTAATCTACTACATAAGTTTCCACCTGAAAATAATAAAGAGACGGCATGTTTGATACACAACTTAGAAAGCAAAAAATGATTTCTTTACAGCATTTTTCGGGAGCATCACCCTTGATATTGCTGAATTCTTTTGTAGAGAAGCAAGGACAAACATGCGCTTTTAACTTCTTTCTATTTCTCACTTGAGATCAAACGTACACAACCCGCCTTAATAAATGTGCCAAAAGTGCGATAAATATGGGACGTGTAGTTACCTGCAAGCCTAGACACGTTGTTCCACCTTCCTTCACCATGCAACTTGACATATTCAATGAGCAATCTGTCTTCTTCAGCAGTCCAAGGGCCCTTTCTCCACCCTTCTTCTATGGCTCCCCATCCCATATGCTGTGCCATAACTCCCCAAGACATAAAAGCAAAAAACAATATTATTTGTTTTTCTTAGCAGAAACTAATATTACGAAGGGTCCTAAGAATTCCCTGACATAAAGTGTTGGTGTCTATTGCATATTTATACTTGCAATCTAACCTTAATTGCTCCTCCATTCCAACACTCAATTTATCTCACTATCAACTAATCTATCAGTATCCTCTCATCACATAATTCAAAGATTATTTCTAGATACTACTTAATTTGCAAGTTACGAAAATACCCTTCTTCATTTCTTGGGTATATAATACGCTAAACTTGTATGAAAAATACGAGAACAAGTGTAGTAAATTTTGCAATCAGAGTAATTAGATAAAACCCTTTTCCGGCTTCTCTCCAATTATATTGTGTTTCTGTGTATGTTGCTGTTTTTTATTGAACCTGTATTTCTTTTGGAGCTTCTAATGATTTTAGAGTAGCTAAAAAAATATTCTGTGTATGTTGCTGTTTTTTATTGAACTATCCTTTTTTTTTTTGTTGTTGACATAGGAACCCCCGGTCGCTACCACCCTGAAGGGGTGGAGGCTCGATCACTGTGAGTACGCACTATGTAAATCCCGTTGCATGTGCAGTAGGCAACATACCACGCAGGAAAAGTAAATCGCACTAGACAAGTCCGGTACGACGGGCTTGATCGAAAAAGTGTTGGTAGGAAATTTGAATTCGTGACTTTTGTTCTCCGCGTTCACGTGACTATTGCCTTATAACGTGGCAAACAATCTTCTATGGAGATGTGGATAATATTGTCTACTTATGAACACTCACTATAATCAAACTGAACAAAATAAGCAACAATATCCCAATGTACTCGTCTAGTTTCATCGAAAGATTAACATAGATGATAGAACATGTTCAAAACATCCAAACCAAAACAAGGGCAATCAAGGAATGGAAAATTTTGTCAAGAAATTTGGTGACATGTACTTATTTGGTTATGGCCACGTATAACATAGGGGTTTATGCATCTAGACCACAAAAGCCTTTAAAGCACTCTCTTATTATATGCCATTACAATTAAATATTAAGTGGGTGGCTAATTCTTTAATCTTGAAAGCCACTACAAAGCCAATGGTTAATTAACGTGTGTTTGATATGCTTACTTATTAAGGAGATGATTCCACCATAATCACCATTCTCTTTAATAAAATATAATTAATTAGATGCCTTTTTTGTCTATTGAGGCATTTAATTATTGGAATAAGCATTTTCTTAATACGTCATTAAGGGACAGGTGGTATGGTAACCTTCACGAGAGTGATTTTGATCGAAAAGTGATAAAATTTTCATCGTTCTTTATTTGGAATTTATTATTATTAGAATAATGAAAATCGGAATACTCGATGTAAATCATTGATCATATCCATTGTAATCTTAGATTATCGATGGAAAGAGAAAATGGTTATTGAAGTTATATTTT